GCTGTGCCTTTTCCTGGAGTTTTCCAGGTCATCAACCACTGTGAACTTCGAAGCGGCAAACCGCGACAGTAGGTTGTTTACCGACGTTTTATTTTCCTGTTTGCTTTATAAGAACACTGCGGATACACAATAATAAAACTTAAAACAGAAACCGCAGGAGTTTTATTGCGTCAGAGCGTGGGGTCGCCGGGCTATTCGCTGCGGCATGTTGACGCAAAAGCGTTGCCATCTGCACTGAGAGTTTTGCACTAATATATCGTGTTGATGTAACAATTTCAAACGGGGGTGAAAATTCTACCCACCGGCGGATGATGATTGAAATTGATAGACAAAGCGGTGGACAAGAAAGACGACGGAAAAATGGAGTGATCCTAGTAGTTGAAACGTGTAGTTTTTATAGATTAAGGGGAAATGACGGACTAACTATAGAGTTCCTCGAGGGCTGCCGTTACTTAGTCCATTACTTAACTCTTTTTTCCACTGCAAACTGCAACCACTCGCTTCCACCAATGAGATCGCTTTGTTTTCACATTGTCCCTTTATCTATCGCTTTGTCAGTCGATTTCAATAATTAGCCCGCAGTTAATGCATAATATAGGGTTCAAAGTAAAATTGATGGTATTTACTTTTACGCGATCATTAGGGGACGCTAGGAGTAATTCTTATCTCTAATTCAATAAACTATCCACCTGCAATACAGGTTTGCTTTATTTCAGATTCTCCGGTAGGAATGGTAAATTCCTGAAAATTCTAGGAATGAGTCATCCCCTTCCACCCCTCGACAGCGCGGCGGGGGAGGGAGACGTCAAATTTGCTAATTACATACAAAAAAATTGAACCGGTAATTTTTCTAAATGATAAAAGCGCTACAAACACAATTCCGAGGAGAACGAGAAAACTGTATTATTCAACCGGTTAGCCAGAACCGTGAAATGGCTTTTCGAGGTCTTTTTCGATACTCTCAAATGTCATTCTGCTGTAGGATGCGTCTTGGTACAGGCAATAACAATCCTTCGAAAGCCCATTTTTAAAATTTTAGGGTCATTTTTAGAATCATTTTTAGGGCCAATTGACCCTCGCGACGGCGCTTCTGTAGCGTCAGGAAAATTACACGTCATCTGCGGGACCGTCGCATTGTTGCCGTAAGTTCAATTTTCCCGCTGAATTTGTAGCAACAGTGTAGAGGAAAATTGACAACACTGCGAGGTAAGACTAGGACTGATGAGAGGAAACTCACGCGGCGTGCGGCGTGGCACAATTCGCCGTTCCTCTGACGTAAAGACGTATGTCTATTTCTAACTGAGCCCCGAAGAGCACGGCATTATACGGATAAAGGGGCTCGAGTGGAAATAGAGATACGCCCTTACGTCAGAGGAGCGACGAATTGAGCGTACCTTGCGTAATTGCCGCGATGCGATGTACGGGGTGATCAAGCTTCGATACGCTGAGATAGTGGTGAATGCTGTAGTCAACAAGTGATGGACGATGCTCAACAGTTACTGTTGCCAGACTCTTGCTTCTAACCCAATCCGCGGGTATTGAAATTAATAGACGAAGAAGCATAAGGAGTATGGAGCAATCCTATTGGTTCAAATGTGTGGTTCCTATCGACTAGGACAGAGAATGATGAACTAACTGTAGGGTTTCTCATGAGTTGCCGTTGGCTTGTCTATTACATCTCCTTTGCCCATTGCAACCACCCGCTTTCACCAATAGGATCCCTCCACGTTTCTTTTGTCTTCTTTTTCTATAGCTTTGTCTATCAATTTCAATAATTGACCCGTTGCACTGAATCGGACCACGTGTAGCAAAAAGCCAACAATTCCCTGACTTTCCCCGGAGTTCGAACATAGGATTCTCTTACTTTCCAATGTTTTGGTCATGCCATGACTTCTTATGGAAATTCTTTTCACGAAAAGTCTCTTGAAATCGAAAAAATAGATTATTTGGCTAGATGAAAAAATTTCAAGGTTCCACATCACTGCAAAAAAAGTCGCTTGAATCTAGAGTCCAGGCTCTTAATAACATGGACAAGAAAAAATACTCTTGATTCAATCCGATTTTCCCTTGAATCGAATAAGAGCCGAGCTTCTTGATTTAGGCGGATTTCCTTTTGATTCAAGCCAAAAATCCGATTTAATCAAGAGTATGTTACCGTGTCGATGTTTTTAAGACTAGATCCAAGCGACTTTTCTTTTTCCAGTGAGGAAAATTTAGCCTGACTTTCCCGGTTTTCCAGACCACCGGAAATCCCGAGAGGGGGATGGGATGCGTATCAGTTCCTACTTTTCGCAACCTAATTTCGATTTAATCGAGGCGAGGATACGCGATGCGTCGGCAGTTGCTTTAATTTACTTAATTATCCTTCGATGATAGATGCACAACTTTCTCTCTCCAATCGGCGGGACGGCCGGCGGCGTTGGCACACAGCGGGATAGAGCCGAGACGCTCTCCCGCCCCCAGCCCCAGCCCCCTGTCTTACAGACGGCCATGCTAAGTAAAAACATCGTATTAGCATTCCAATGTTGTCAAATTTCTTCTTTAAGAATATTTAATTATGAAGAAAGCAATGAATGCTTTCCCTTGAAATTTTCAGACTTTTTAGATCAGATTACGAACGAAATCCTGTGAAACATCCGAGGGGAAGTATTTATAAATTTTCGCGAAAATTAGTGATTTGTCGAAGGTAATTTGCAAACGCCGATAGGTCATACGGCGCTCTTATTACTTACAACGACAGTAGAGGAGTAATCTCCTCGAAATCGGCTGCCGGCAGCCGAGTCTTGGCAACAATTTAAAAACATCTCTTCCCTGTCGCCATTTCCTGCAGTCGCTGCGACACACAGTGGCTCGAGTCAATAAGAGAGGTCGGACAAAATTTGGAAACTTTATACGCTGAAAACTCCGTTTATTCAAAACATTGAGGTTCTACAAGAGGTTTGATTGGTTTCCTCGTGAAATTTTCTTTCAGAAGCACCCCTAAAAATTTGCAATACATCGAAATAAACATAAAAATTTGCAGTTTTAGTCAACAATTCCATGTCCGACCACTCTGATTGACTCGATCCACTGTGCGCCGTGGCCGCCGTGCAGTTGCCATTCGATAGTTTCAAGCTTTAGGGATTGAGACGAGCGAGTATATTCCTATGAGAGGTGTCATACAGTACAGTGGCCTGGCGTGCTTTGCGATATATCGATTCATCTGCCATTTAAAACTATGGAAAAGGATCGATAAAAAGGGTGTTTACAACGAACACATTGATGGTCGATTCTTTAAAATAGTTTCAAATGGGAAGTATCGATAATAATCGATCATTCACGCCTCGCCATTGGTGTCATATCGGGACCGAGTCAAGCAAATTGTGTCGCAGAGTGGAGGAAAAGTCAGAGCATAAATTCTCATTCGCCATTTTTGAGGCTAAAAATGCTAAAATTACGACCTCAACTAAATTCAGAAGCATCTGAATCAGTGCCTGTAAGTCTAATGCACAACGCGACGCGGTTGAAACTATAATAAGATAACCGATTCCTTGAACTGAAAACTAGGAATAATTTTTAAATGAAAATTTTATTTCGAAATCAATCTGTCCCTGAAGGATGCAAAGTTGTTTATGAAAGATTGAGTGTCACCCATCGGTCATTTAGTCTAATGCGCTGGACTCCTTGGATTAAGAAAAAGATAAAAATGTGTCACTGGGATTGGTTAATTACATTCATGAGCATTATCTCTATCAAAATAATTTGATTAGTTCGATTTATGAGTACAGTCCGATTCGACACTCTGGGAAGCTTTCGGTCCGAAAATTTTGTGGATTACTCCTTTGTGTTCGGTCAATGACTCAATGGATGACTTCTGTAAACTAAGGTCACTTTTAAAGCGGACTTTCACATTGACTTCATTGAAGACTTGTCGGAAATGACAAGTTCTTTGACTCACTTTATTTTCTCTTTCATATTCAAGTTGTCCATTATGATGTGTTTCAGGACCAGATTATCAAGATTACCGAAACTCCGTTGTTTTAGAGGCGAAGATGCAAGGTTGGATCTTATCAATTAGTTCGTTTACATTTCTACACTGCCGTTTAAGTCTCTGATATAAGCATTGCTACACCTAACTCCCGAACGAAAAATCTTGTTCCTGTTAAAAATAGTGTACGTGCGATGTTCACAATCACAGCAGGAGAGGAAATCTTTGATTGGATGAGATGTCATCAGAAACCATTATTCACGACTGAATATCAGAGAAAGAATATGTTTGAAATAGGACGGATGTTCCTTGTTTCCTCACATATCTACGATCATTCTCATTTCTCATCTTAATCTTCAAGAATGCGATTCAGAGCCCTTTATTGAAGCAAAGAATCCGCATTGGAGGGCTGAGGGATGGCAATCGAAGAATGAATCTCAGGGATCAAGGGGGGGGGGTATAAAAGGGGTAAATGGGGTAGGGTAATAGTGGTCATAAATCGGTTCACGCGCGGCGAGGGCTTAACCACAGGCTGCGAACTCCTCGCGCAAAGGTGCCGAACTTATAATAATTTTAAAACATTAAAAAATGTAATGGATTCATGCAAAATGGCCACTTTCATGCATAAGATTGCTCGAGGTTAAAGTTTCAGGGCATCATTTGCAATATTTTAAACATTTTGTGAGCTTTTGAAATTAATCGTTGCTAAAACTGGCATTTTCATGAGTTTTTTTCTTCTAAAATGTGTGATGGGGCATTCTCTAACTGTGATTTGCTCTCAAAGGGTCAAGTTTTAAATTTTTTTAGTGTCCTTCAAGTCAAAAGATGCAGAATTAACTTTTCTCAATTGTTAGCTATCTCATTAATTTGTTTTCCATCTGAAGAGTGTATCTGTGCAGGAATCAATTAACTATCTCATGAAAGGAGCAGAAAGTAAAGTTGTATCCGACTAGGCGAGGCGTGACGCGTGACGTGTGGAGAGATTCTTAATTATGCTCTTAGTGTGGAGAAAAATTAGAAAAAAACAAGCAAATTCAAGTAATTGGATAGTGATTTTCCAAAATTTGGTGGCAATTTAGTTTTCAATGATAAAATGAGCTTCCTGAGAATATTACCCAATATCTTCGACGCAACAGTATTGTTCTTAGATTCATTGATTTGCGATTTTCTAAGATCAGCTTCTTGTACGATTCTAATCTGGTTACAACAGTTTTTTCTCCCAGAATTGTTCACTCTTCGAAGATGCTCACTGCTCAGACTATACTTTTTTGAGACGTACTATGATTTTCTTGAAAAGAAAACTCACTGTTAGAGCCAAAAGATTCTTGAGGGCCAGGTACTCACATTCAATCTGAAACAGATAAAAGAAATCCATGCTGATCATTCAGGTGTTTTTTTTTTTTTTTGCTCCAAGGAGCCGAGGACATAGACCAGACCAACTTTGATACTCAATTAAAGCTTACAACCTGTTTTGTAGTTCTGAATTTTAAAATCAGCATTGAGATTCTCATCAATTATTTCGAATTTCAATGATTCTTTTCGGAGTTTTCCGCTTGGATAAGAACTCCTTAAGGAACATTGCTTAAAACGAAATGTTATATATTAGAATGGCAACTCTGTGCAGCTATTGGTGCAGCGATTAAGGTGCGGGGGCGGGGGCGGGGGCGGTTGGCTGAGCCGCTGGAATTGAGTCATTAAAATCCCATTCATCACTTTTTTCTTGTTCAACCCTTCATCGCGCAGCCGCAAGCGGGCCCGCCGAAGCATGTACGGGAGCTCGCAGGGATGCCACTCACGCTGACAAAAGAAAAAAAGAGAAAATTCTCGTCCCAAGCGCCGATTCTAATGGATCGTATTCGATAGTGGTTCGATGTATCTTTTGGTTCAAAACAATAAAACATAACCTCAAACAAAAATTTTAAGATTTAAATAGGAAAAGCTGAAAATGAGAAAATTTCACTTTTCATTGCCATTCGATACTTATAAGAATCAATAATCCATCACAAGAAACCCGTTCCCTCAGATTACTCAACTGACTTGTGAGGTTGTGTCTTCATGTTGAACCAATCGACATCGATACAATCTCACTTGTTCGATGTATCGAATACGATCGATAGCTTAACAGTCGGTTCACTGAAATTATGGTCGAGGAAAAAGCGTTTCCCTTCGAAAATAGGAACTCAAAAGCAAGAAAAAGCGAGAAAAATATTAAGTGGGTGTGTATCCGGGTAAATACACGGGCGGTTAAAATACTGAGGTGTAAATTTCAGAACGCTGTGATCATCGTTCATGTCCTCGGGATTCACCCATCCGCAGTTTTTTTTGAAAGTTTTTTCAGGGAAAATCCCCGAGGGCTTTCGGATTTTTGTTAAATACGCAAAAATTTAAAATATAAAAACCACACGACTAACATCACTTTATTGATTGATGCACTGACTAACTGGACAAGAGGTCTCTTGGACCCTGAGTCCGGACTCTTAAAAAATTGGACGAGAAAAAATGCTCTTTGAATTCTCACTATCGGATTTTTGCTTGAATCGAGAGTTAAACCTCTTAATTTAAGCAGACTTCTTTTGGATTCAGGAATAAATCCAATGGAGATGTTGCATGTGTGAGGAATTTGCAATTTGACTGTTGATTCTTTTGCAAAAGTTTGCGAGAGACACGATGGTGACACTCGTTTTCTCTGAAATCAACTCCCAAGCTCAAAAAAAGCTCTCAAGTTGAGGCCAAAATGGAGGGGATATTCTACGCTATCCTAAGAGTCCACCTCTACATCAAGACAAACTCTCCATGCAAAGATAGGGAGAAAATACATTGACAGGGCTGCCACTTTATTTGGGGACTCTAAAACTGAAAACACGGCATCACTGCTGATGTATTTTCTCCCTATCTTTGCATGGAGAGTTGGTCTTGATGTAAAGGTGGACTCTCAGGATAGCGTGGAATATCCCCTCCATTTTGGTCTCAACTTGAGAGCTTTTTTTGAGCTTGGGAGTTGATTTCAGAGAAAACGAGTGTCACCATCGTGTTTCTCGCGAACTTCTACATAAGAATCGACAGTCAAATCGTCAATTCCTCACATATGAAACATCTCCTTTGAAGCAATTTTTTTTTTTTGTCAAATTGTTTTTGATTCTGAAATCTGGATCCAAGATACTTTGTTTCCAGTGATTGCTTGTCCATAACGAGGTCCGGACCGTCCGGTACATATTTCATCTGCTGCCGGAGTAGAGCGCGAGCGAGTGCTGCAGTGCTGCGCTCTATCGGGCCGCACGGCCGGAGCTGCGACCCACTCGCGATTTCGATTGAGATGTTTATTGAAGCTTGCGTAAAAGCCGCGCTTTTTTCACAGATTCTGCTTCGCTTTTCTTCGGCCAATTCGTTGCTCCTCCAACGTAAGGACGTGCCTCAATTTTCACGTGAGCCCTGCGCTCCATGTAGCAGCATGCTTCCTGGGGCTCACGTGCTGATGGAGATACGCCCTTACGTTGGAGAAGCAACGAATTGCGGTGCGTCGCATCTCAAGCCGAAGTCACGACCGTCACGCCATGGCTCGGACCGTTCACCCTTCGCCGCTCTGTCCTCGTTGCCACGATCCGTTGAAAAATCTTCAGGTTACACGATGAATAATCCTTAGACAAAGTATAAGTGACGTAAGTAAGCTTTGGACAAAGCTAAGGCAAAGGGGCACTAGAGAAGAGGCGAATTTTCGCGACTGGATTCGGCTACTTATTTTAACAGGCGACTGCTGTATCACCGTTGAAATTTGGACCAATCAAAATCGAGTGTCTAGTTTTCAACCAAATCCTGAAAAGACGCGCCAAATCTCAGATTAGGTAAAAAAAAAAAACCGCGAAAATCAGCCGATGCCGTGCGACTTATTCTATGTTATTAAATGTTTTACGAATTATCGTGCAAATACACAAAAATATTTGCACTTGCTACACTTTACTTCATCACTATCACCTTAACGCGGTCGCTGTTGCTCAGTTGTTGTTTTTGTCGCACGGAACACTGCCATTTTGCAAAAATTAGGTTGCCTTTGAGGTTTCAGGTGAAACCACTTACTCCCATCCACTTTTCGACCGATGCCAAGTTGAAATGAGTCGAGAAATTTTGGATTTTGTTCAGACATCGGTTGCTGATGAAGATTAGTGGGTTGGGTTGGAAAAAATACGTGCTTCATTAGGATTTGGTCAAAAAAGTCAACCACATCCACTTTCAAAAATTCGCCTATAGTAATCATTGTTACACACGTCATAGCACATTGTCTGCTCGTTAATGGGCGAGGGGAAGGTGGGAAGAGTGGAAAAAGTCAATATTCATTCACTGCCTAATAGCGAAAATACAGATACCGCAACTCGATCATTGTTAATGTTCAATTTGTAAAAACTGTTGCACCCTTCATTAACTTTTTTTTTCATTTTCTTTAAAAATCAGCGAAGCACAAAGATATATATGCACGGCAGGGCTCATCCCAAAATCCAGTCACACTTTTTGTTCCGCCTCACTTTCTGCGGTATCCATAATCGGAATGACCATCCGCTGCACAACGCAATACCTCAAGACTTGATTTCTTTTCTTGCCGTTGCACTCATCCGGATTCACACGCGTCTTCATTTGTCAGCAAAAAATAAACTTGCGCCTTAAATCGGGCCAATTGCGGTGGTTTAAAACAGATGCACTCTTCACTTTTACTTCCTGCACTTTTAATCTTGGCGGAAATAAAATCCTCGCAGAAAAAAGGAAGAACATAATGGAGGGAATCCGAGGATTCTTGAGACACCAAACGTTCTCGACAGTCCGGGTGAAACTACATTGCTTCTTATTCGATATTTGGATTTTTTAAAATATTCTTGCCTTCAAATCAGTGGCGTGTCGTGCCATGCGATGAACCGACTGATCGATTCTTATTACCATAGCTCCAAATGAAATTATATCGATAGTTGATGATTCAGGCTTCGCCAAGGCTTCAAATTTCCGCGTAACTCCTCGTTTTTTTATATTTTTTTAAAACATTTCACTAATTTTTTACTTTCTTGACTTGAAGATATCCCTTCACAAAAGTTTCGAATGAGGAACATCCCTCCCTTGACGAATTCGTGACTGTGCTATTGGCTGAAAATAAGATCTCAGCTCCTGGTTCATCTAGAGTCCCTTTATACTGAGAGTCAAGACAATTTGAATCCATTTCTGATTGGTTCCCGTATTTTAGGCCTCCACAGTGTCACAAACGGGAATAAAGATTACATTTTCACCAATTGCAAATATTATAATCTGGAATGGACCAGGGAATTACGGGTTCGGCAAGGAACAAACGGAATGAGAGGAGGAACGGAGAAAGGCATTTGAGAATGGGCCGATCAAAGATTACGAAAAACGTTCAATTTCTGTAATCTTTATTCCCGTTTGTGACATCCATGCATGAGCCGAATTGTCTTGACTCTCAGTATAAAGGGACTCTAGGTTCATCGACACATTCTACACTTACCGATGATCAGGAGCTTAACAGAAGGGCGAAGTTGAATAGGAGAAGAATCAATGCGAGGACCTTGACCACAGCGACAGAACATACCACCTGAGCCCTGACATTCAAGACCACTTAAGTCAAGACCCACACCTACTGGTGTACACCATACACCTACTGATACCTCCATTGGATATCGGACGGACTCATATGCCAAATGGCCCTGTGTAATCACCATCGTTTTGATTGAAAGCATACAAAATAGACTCATTCCCCTCGTGATATGACTACTGGATGGACCGCCAACCACCGCGATCACCAGTGGCGAGGCGTGAATGATCGATTGTCGATATTTCTCCATTTGAAACTATGGTAAAGAATCGATTATTAAGGTGTTCGTTGCGAACACCCTGTTATCGATCCTTTTCCATAAGTTTAAACGGCAGATCAATCGATGTATCGCAAAGCACGCCACGCCACTGGCGATCACCAATTCACGGGCGGCCCGAATGGTTCAAAGTGAACATGCCACGGCAAGATGATTTGCAGCTTTTCTCGAGACGAGAAGCAGACAGATTATGGGGGCTCACGCTTCTTGCCCTTGGCGTTGTCGAGCTGACAGAAAATCCCAAGCTCCAAACTAGTAACGGTTCTTCGACGACTCATGTCATGATCTGGCAACCGCGCGCACTTTGCTCGAAACAATACTTAATTTGCCATTAGGTGAATAAAATCTGATTCAGGTGGGATTAGGGTAGGTCAGAGAGAGCGTTGCCAATGTGTCATGCTGTGATTTATAAACCCGTGAGATAATTGAAACAGAAGCAATGAGCAAAACTTACAAGCACATTCATCAGAGGGGACTAAAGTTTCAAAGTAAA